CCCAAATGATTCTATGATTCTATGAATGGGGGTTGAAGACAATCCTGCACTGGTAAAGGTAGATTAAACACAAAGGTGTTTCTGTCTAATTTCTGGGATTTTGTGATGCCTCCCCAGTCCCTGACGCTGCCCATTTGAAGATGCTTTACAAACACTGAGGGATGAACTAATTCTCTGACTCTACCTGCAACCTGAAGGAGCAAACCTTCCCCATGGCTGGCTGGAGGGGTCCCTGGCACGGTCCCTTGCTCTGTTTTTGCTAAACTAGGCTGTACTTCAAGTCCAAATCTGCAGCAGGAGCAGATGTTGGACATCTCCTGCCTAGGCACAGAGCCCTGGCACAGCAGCCCCTCTGGTCTCACCTCCTGAAGTCTCTGGCCACATGGAAGGTGCTCCCATGTCCCCTGTGGTTTTCTGCAGCTGGTTGATCATTCCAGGTTGGAGGTGAGAGAGCAGCTTCTGACACCTCTGCTCTATATGCACAATCAGCATACGTGTGTTACCAGGATGGGAAGCAACAACCCCTTGAGGACTCGTGTGGTTCCTTCCATGTTTTACGAAGAACTCAAGAGCTACCTGAGGTGAAGAGCAAGAAGGAGAGGAGCCCTGAGTGAAAGCCATAGTGAATAAGATTTGCACTGACACTGAGGAATTAAAGTTTTGACGATTATTTCACCATCATGGTGAAATATGGTGCCCACAGTCATCTTCCCATTTTTCTTGAGGTCCTCGATCCAGCTGGAGTGGGAAGCTGTGGCGATGGTAAGCCACTTCCCAGCGAGCTAGAGAGAATGGGTCTGCACTGACTAGTACAGAGAGCAATGAGAGATTCAGGAATAGAGCAGGAACCCCCAACTACCTCCTCTGCCCAGACCGCTGACGGGGACACAAGCATCTCTTCTGACAGGCAGAGCAGCCATCTGCCGTAAAGAGCTAACTAGATGCAAGATCCACTTGGCCAAACCCAGGTACCTGGTGACCCTCACTAGCCCACTGACCCCCACACTAAAGTGTTGTGCGTCGTAGTGAGTCGAAAGCCAGGGACCTTGAGTGACTTTGAATCACAGTGGGAACGGGGGTCCTTGCAAAAACAAGCAGGTGGGCTTTGTCTAACCTCTGCTCCCTTGTGGAGACCATGTCCAAGCAAAGCATCTTCCCCATCCTCCACCACGGGAAAACTCCCTCCAGTGACATTACCTTCTCTCCATTAAAACATTCTTTCAGAGGGATTTTTGTCCGGGCCTGAAGAACCAATGGAAGTGTCAACTCCAGGAGCAAGAAAAGGACCTTCATATTCAGCACACCTCCAAGAAAGACGAGCTTTGCAGGGACCTCCGAGCTTTTAGCCCTGCATGCGGATCCTCAAGGGCAGCAGAGCAAACCCTTCCTCATGCCCCGTTGGTGCGATGGCCAGTGCACAGATAGCATCGTTAGTTGGGTTTTTCCCTGCTTGCAGCTGAACGGCATGTTCGTACCAAGGTCTGAGACAGACCGATCACCCCAGGCCCTCTGAGAGAGGGTAGGGAGAAGGGGGCGAGAAATTCCCTGTCAGCTTCAGCCCCATCGACACTTTCCATGTGGGATCAAAGCAAGAGGTTCCAGAGTGATGGAGAGCCCAAAATGAGTTCCTTGGCACCCTTGGGTGCATCACGCCAGGTCCCAGGGACTGGATATGTCCCGTTTGCATAAGTAATCCCCATTTCATCCCTAAATCTTCCTTTGCTGTGGGTAAAACTTCACTCCCCTGGACTCTTTTTTGCTCAGATGTGGTGGTGTAGAGCAGTGCTCTCCAAACTTTTTTGATTGCACACCCTTAGCAGTGAAAAACTTTTGAGCATGCACCCCCAATATATGTATATTTATTCATAAATTATATACATGTACATTATAAAACATATACAGTAACAGACATTTTAAGAAGACAAGATAAAGATTAAATAAACACAAGTTTTAAAATATTGTTTTATTTTACTTTCTTCCTGCACCCCAATGGATTGTCTTGTGTACTCCCTGGGGTGCACACACCCCACTTTGGAGACTACTGCTCTAAAGAAAGCAGGCATTTCCCCTGACAGATAAGTCTGATAAAAGGGCTATATGATTCTTTTATCCCTAGTGATGCTGCTGGTCTTTATGGCAAGCTCTGTTGGTCCGTATTGTGGTGGGGTCTCACGCATCGGTGTCACGAGTTGATGAAGGCTGAGCAAGGAGCACACTCAGGACTTGTGGTGCCTGACCCTTCCCTGCCACAGGGATTCTCCATCCTTTTTCCCTGCCTTTCACCTCCAGGGGTGAGTACCCGGCCAAATACTAAAGTAGCTACAACTGGCAGGAGCAGTCATGAAATCAGAGGTTTCCCTGTTAGTAGGGAGAGCAGAGAGGTAGCAGATAGCTCTGCTGCCATGGGACCGTGGGTGGGAAGGGATGTGAAATTCCTGTTTTATTTCCAAAGGAGGTGCCGATTTTGTAGATGTCCTAAAAACTGGGTTCCCCAACTGGCCTTGCCTTGGCCATGTGCTCTGGGAGGATGTGTTGCAGCCTCACCTGAGTGAGATAAAGGCACGTTGGGTTGCTATGGGGAAATCCTTAGCTCCGTCAGGGACGTGGGTATTTCCAGTCACAGGAAACCGGTTCCCGTAATTTCTGCTAAGTAGGAGTCCTACTTGTAAAGGAATCCCAACCCAGCATTCAGCTGAGGCCTGAGGAGGATGTGTTTCGCTGTGCCTGTAGACATATCTTCTTGCACACACTGAGCAGCGGTCACAGCATCCTTCCACACCCCTTTATTTACGACCACCAGGTAACACTTTCCTGGCTCTGTGTGCTGCTGAGAGCCCCTGAACCCTTCCCGAAGGCAGGTCATGAACCAGATTCAGCTGCTTTCCCATCCATGTTCCTGCCTTCTTGCCACCATTTTGCATGTGGAAGCAGCTCTCCGTTCTCAGGATTAACTTTGACTCCTGAAACTACAAAGATCAATCCTCTGGCAATAGTTTTCCTACTTATACATATTTTATTGCATTAAGGGAAAGACATCCAGCTCTGCAGTGTCTGCAAGTCCAGCCCAGACAAGATTATCCACCACTTAACAGGAGATGCAAACAGCCGAGCGCTACTGCTGTGCTTTGCACAGTGTTTCACCTCAGAGAGCGCTCTGCTTAGGAAGAAAAGCTCTTTCCAGAAAGCCTGACAAAGCCCTGGTGTAGATAAATGATTAAAAAAAAAAAAAAAAAAAAGGCTTACCAAGGGCACTGTCACATCAAGCGCGATGTGTGGACAGCCAGTACGGCTTCTCTACCTGGGCAACACCTATTTCTTAGGAAAAAAGTCCCCAGAATTACTTATTGGGAGAATACCCATCGCCAAACAATTAGCAATTTTATGAAATCTCCTCCTAGTTTATTCAGGTGTTCAGAGGCCGTTGTGTGCCACCCTTCTGCCACCAGTCCCAGAGGGTGAAGACCTCTGCAATGCTCCACACTGGAAGGATGGTACCCGGCTCCTGGGATGGGATGGGACACAGCTCGGGGTCGTACCTACGTGAGTTGGGCTTTCTGAAGCCGACACTGCGAGTTCAAGCCAGGGACTTTCAGACCCAAAAGGAGACAATGTCGTGAGTTAGGTACCCAGCCCCTGGGTCCCCACCGGGCAATAACGGGTCTGAGCATCAGATGCATTGGTGACAGAGGACAAGGCACTGCCAGCTGTGTTCCCACCAACACCATGCGGTAGATCTAAGGACTTCCTTATGCAAATTGGTCATTTAAGTTTTAAAAAGCAAACAGATGGGAGACTGAATAAATGAGTTGAACTGAAATTACCAGAGGCAGAAACTCTCACAACAAGTTGTTTTTAAGTTACAACAAAAAGGTAAACCTAAAAGGCAAGATGAAACTCTTGGCCTTTCTAAAACTGTATACAAAAACCCAACAAATGCTTGTGGTTTATGAAAACATCTTTGGTTACTGAACATTTTTATAGTTAATTTTAATCTTTCTCCTTGACAAACGGGCACATATAAACACACTAATCAAAATATCACATTTATCAGTGTATTAAACATCAAAAATAGATCCATCCTTTTTAATGTTCCCAACACCTTTGGAATTCAAAGTGTCATGCCTAACATTATTACAGCAAATGACCACAAAATGGATTGCAACTGCACTATCGACCTTTTTATTTAATGGCCATCAGTCTAAAAAAATAGTAAATAAACCACTCATTTTTGTCTCTGTTCTTTCCATGCATTTAAGCATAGTTTTAAATGTTATCTCCAATTTGCATGGTTCTACTGTGAACAGTGTAAATAGACACTATTCATTTTCTAAAGGCTCAGTTGTAAGCACAGTTGCATCTCAATTAATAAAATGAGTATAGTAGATGTTTCCAAGCCTACCCATTTAGCATAAAATGCATTAATTTTTACTACTGTTCTCGTAAATTCCACATATACATTGTCTTTACATATTTAAAGTATCTAATTTATATTCTAGGATGACATAAACTCCAATTATTTCTTTCTTAAACAGCAGTGGTAAAACTTAAACTTCTATGTTCTTTGAAGAGTAGAAGACTGATAACTGGCCTCTCACCCAGAGATAAACTGAAAACGCCTGTCCCTCCTCCTGGCACACTGCATAGTTGTTTCATTCCAAGGATTATAACCTCGGAGACTTGGTATTCCCAACAGCTGAAGCACTGTGCCGGTTACACTGCTGCACCCTGTGGCACTGCCTGACCAGGACCTCCAGGCCCCTTCATGTGTCTTGGGTCACTGAGAGACGCATCCCTGCCGTGGGGAGGGTGGAGGTCGTGCAGCGGCTATGCCTCCACCCTTGGTGGACATCTGTAACACCCCCCCTGCGCAGGGCTTTCCTGATGGCCCCTTTGACCTTGCTGTTTCTCAAGCTGTAGATGATGGGGTTGAGCATGGGGGTCACAACGGCATACAGCAGGCTGAGGGCCTCATCCATCTCCTTGGAGCCGCTGGAGTGAGGCACCAGGTACGCCACGGCCCCAGCACCGAAGAACAGGGACACCACGGTCAGGTGGGAGGTGCAGGTGGCAAAGACTTTCTGCATCCCTGCTCCTTTCTGGAGGACAGCCCCAATGATGTAAACGTAGGACATGAGAGTAAGAAGGAAAGAGCCCATCGCAACAGTCCCAGCCAAAGCATACAAAGTGGCTTTGTTGAGGGGAGCGTCAGGGCTGCAGGACACCTTCAGCAAGTAGGGCATCTCGCAGAACAAGTGGTCGATCATGTTGGACCTGCAGAAGGGCAAGTGGGCTGTGAGGAAGGCCTGGATCAAAGATGAGAAGGAGCCGCTCAGCCATGAAATGGTCACTAAGCAGTGGCACATCTTCTTGCTCATGAGCGTTGGGTAGTGGAGGGGGTGGCAGATGGCCAGGTACCGATCATAGGCCATGGCAGCCAGGAGCACGCACTCGGAGCCCCCAAAGCAAAGGAAGAAGTAGATCTGCGCGATGCAGCCCACAAAGGAGATGGTCTTCTGCGGTGAGAAGGAGTCTCCAAGGATTTTGGGGAGGGTCACGGAGGAGTAGCAGATATCCAGGAAGGAGAGGTGGCTCAGGAAGAAATACATGGGGGAGTGCAGGTGGGCATCCAGCCAGACAAGGGTCATGATGAGCAGGTTCCCCAGCACTGTCACCAGGTAAATGAGGGAGAAGCACAGGCAGAGAGTCATCTGTGCTCTGTAGGCACTGGAAAATCCCAAGAGAAGGAACATGGTGGGGCTGCTGAGATTTCCCTGCTGCGGGGATTTGAAGCTCATCTACAGGAAAAGCAGGAGGAGATGAGGAGAGGTAGAAGGAGGGTGAGTGCTCACCCCTGCCATGGGGCATCACCAGCCCCCTGCTCTGCTGCGCGGTGGGCTGGAGCCGTGCCGCTGCCCCGGCACTCCTCACACCTCGCTCTGAGGGCTCACGGGGGGGATACGTCTGTGGGGGCAGGTGGTGGGTCTCAGCCCACAGGGTTTCAATCCTCAAGGCAACCCCCAATTCTGTGTCACCTGAAGGACACCAGAGAGAGCTGGGACCTCACCACTGCGGTCAATAAGGATCCCAGGAACTGTTAAATGAGAGTGGACGACAGCAGCTCTTCTCCCCTTCCAGATTTCCTGGGCTGCAACTGGAGACTGGTCTGAAGATCCCACAAAACGTGACAGGTTGGTCCCTGCCTGAACATTTGCTGCCCTTCATGGGAGCAATTGTGTTTAGACCGTAAGTAAAGATACCGAAAGATCTCCTGCTTCCCCTCTCCAACATAGATTGTCAGAGCAGATCTCAAAAAAAAAAAGGCTTTAAACATTACAAAGAAGGTGTCTGCTTGCACTGTAGATGTTAGCCTTATGTTCATACCTAGAAAACAATGCAAGGGAGGGACTTCTGAGAGTCTGACAGATCATGGGAGGACCAGAAAAGCATCTGAAGGTGACTGTGTAGTTCAAACAGGCTTGAGGATCACAAGGAAAAGCAGAGACACTAGCCTGCAGGAAAAGGGAAAGACTCTGAATCTAACGAGAAACTGGAGTTCAGAGATAAATGAAGATGAGATACAGGAGATTTTGAGTGTGATCCCAAAACTACTGAATCCCCAGGAAGAGCAGTAAGGAGATGACCAGAGATTCACGCAAGCCTGCAAGAAGCTGTTGGTGCTGACAGAACTGTCACCGGATCCTTCCAGAGAGAAATGTGGGAGCATCAGCCAGGAGCCAAGCAGAGGTGGGTGCCAGGCTGAGAAGACTTAAAGCACCTTCAAATGACGTTGCAAGCTCCCTCCAAGAGTTAACAAGGACAACCCCACCATGCTGGGGATGTGCTCCACAACGCAGAGATTCAGGGATGGGCTGTGGATTTGTCCTGGTGCCCAGCAGCCGGAGTGGGTGTGTGAGCAGGGAGGGAAGGAGGGATGAGGAGCCAGCCCGAGGCTGGGTGCTGTGGCAAGGGCTGGGGTGCTTGAGCAGCTGGGAGCCTCCACGCACACGCTCCTCTTAAGGCAAGAAGGGATGGCAGCGGGGTGGGAGAAGCCTTTGGGGATCTGATGCCAGGCTTTGAACCACAAAGGGAATGGAGGTCGGAGGAGAGGCACATACTCTCCATGCTGGTTTGGGTTGTGCTGGAAGAGTAGGAGCTGGTAAATAAGGGCATAACCACAGAGGGAAG